GATGAAAAAGTAAGAATGTAGAAAAGTAGAAAAAGTCCTTTTAATAAAAAGGACTAAATCAGTTGGATACTTATATGGAAAATTATAGAGCCTGATCTCTCCCAGGTGGTTTGTAAATCTGTGGCTGGCACAAAGACAAAACTTCTAAATGATAATATATGGGCATGTCTAATGATTTCAAAGTCAGCAAATACTTCTTTTTTTAAAAAATTGTTTTGGGTGGCTTGCATGTGTGTGTGTGTGTCTGTGTGTGTCTGCGTGTGTGTGTGTGTGTGTGTGTGTGTGTGTAAAAGAGAGCTTCAGCCCTGGAAAAATACTTCTTAAACAGAATATAAAACACTATTCATGAAAGTAAATATTAAGAATTTTTGATAAATTAAAATTAAAACCTTCTATTCATCAATAAATATAAAAGTAGGCCCCAAATTTGGGGCTGTTTTTCAAATTATAAGAATAACTCACTTCAAGGTAAATAAATATTTCTAGGGCTACAGAGGTGGCTCAGCAGTTAAGAGTGTGTATTGCTCCTGCAGAATAGATGAGTTTGGTTTGAAACACCCATGGCAGGAGTCTAATAACTGCCTACAACTCCGGCTCCTGTGAATCCAGAGCCCTCTGTTGGTCTCTGCAGAAATCTGCACTCACATGCCCCCCACATATACACAAGCACACATACACATAAATAAAAATAAAAAGATCATGTTTTTAATTATATAAGAATAGGGCAATTTGACAGTAAAATAGGCAAAAAGATGGAAAATTACTTCATAAAGATACCCAAACTGATAATACATGTGATAAGGAACACAACTTCATCAGTCTTCTGAGAAGAATCCATTAAAATCCTAAGATAAAGCTACCTAAGTATGTAGACTACTTACCTAGAATACCTGAAGTCTTGGGCTCCAGCCCCAACAATATCACATACAATAACAAGATATCACTAAATACTCACTCACCAGAATGGCTGTAATTGCAAAGTAATAGAAAAACTGCCATTTTCATACATTGCTGGTGAGAATAAAAGTTGACAATAACTTAGAAAAACTGTCATCAATAATTTCCAAGTATGTATTTTCCATTGCATAGAAACTAATCCTAGGTATATCTTCAATGGCAATTCTAATAATTGGAACCAAAATACATACATAAATTATATGAAACATCATTATTCACAATAACTCCAAACTGGAAATAATCTACATATTTATTACTAAAAGGAATTTATAAATTATTATGTATATCAGCAACAAAATATACAAAAATATAAATTAAAAATCTCTCTGTCTGCAACAGTATGGTTATCACAAATGTAGTGTTAACCAAAAACCCACAAAACTCAAAAGAATACATTTATCTGATTTCATTTATGTACAGTTCAAAATAAACAGAATTATTTCTGGTATAGAAGTCAGGACATTCATCATCTTTGGAGAGTGAGGATGATATAGTGATAAAGATGGACACAATTAAGGGTTTTCAGGATGTTAAAAATATTTTATTTCTTGACTTAGATGCAAGCAATATGAGTGTGCTCACTTTGTAATATTTCATCAATTGGCACAATTATGATGTGTATATTTTTCTGTATTTGTATTATATGTTAATAAAAATAAAGGAAAAGAATAGAAATGAAGTAAGTGCTGGGTATTTACAGAGGAGTCAGACAAAGATGGTTCTCTACAGTGGCTGCCTTATAGACAAAGGCACAAGGCTTTTCTTGGTAATATTCTTGGAAATTAAAATCGCTTCAGAAATTCTCTAGTATAAGGAGATCTTCTCTCTAAGGTAGTTACAGATAAATTACAGATCATTTTCACAAGATCTAAGAGAGAAGATGAAACCTAAAAGCAAATAAAATATCAAACAATGTACTACAAAAAGCTTTTAGTACCATCTTAGAGGGAAAGTGGGAAGCTAGGAAATGGATCACATGGTTAGGATTTCTCTTTTCAACTTCACTTTCTAATTATTTTAGAAACCAGTGAAATATTACCAATAGAACTATTTACTTAAGTAAAACTGACAGTTCACATACTTAACAGGACCAGAAAGAAACAGGCCTGTTTTATAAAATGCCTTTGTTTTATATAACTGTTACCCAAGTCCCCAGATAATTCAGTTCAACAACTATTTTCTACTTAGCTATAATTAGTGCTGTTAGGAATCATAAAGACAATACAGAAGGTAGATTTCTGATGACTTTTAATGTAAAGGTAGATGTCTTAAAGTGAAAATCGTAACAACTACAGAATAATCCCCAAAGAGATTATGGTGGGTGACTTCCAGGAATAAAATTAGTGAGAGTGGAAATGAGAGGGATTTCATGAAATCAGTTCAAAAGCCTTAAAGAACTCATTGAAAAGTCTGCACTTAAAAACCATAAACAACTTATCAAGATTCCATAATTTGTGGGCTCTGTTATGGTCAGCATGAATCTCCTAGAATGATTGTTAGTTAGTAGGCATATCAAATGTTGGTATGCTAATGATGTATCTAGTTATACCCAAAATGTCCAAAGAAGATTAAAGCTGACTTCTATGATATCACCTCAAATAATAGGGACTGCACCTCAAACACCGCCAACTGTCCTGAATAAACTCCTATTGATCTGCCTGTAATTTAGATTATGAGATGATACCTTTATTTATCTCTCTCAACATTAAAAGACCTCTAGTACTTAACACTGTACCTAACAGAGAAATTTTTATTTATTCAGCTTAGATCATTAAATTACACCAACACACTGACCATATTCATCTCTCTCCCCCTTTTGATCAATTTAATTGGGTTTCTGGAGACTTTCATCAATCCGCTGTTAGCTTTTTCTTGAGAAACAGCCACCAGAATTTTCTGTCTGATTGCAGACAAAAATGAATTTTTGATCATCTTCATAGAAAAATGTTTTGTTTTGTTGTTGACACATTCCTGAGATTTTCCACCATGTTTTTGACATATGAGGAACATAATCATGACCAGACCATTTTCTCTATAGTGTGATCCAATGATTTTAATGCTTTTAATTATTTGTTATCAAATTCAGACACTACTGGTGTATCTCTAGCTCTTAAGCTAATCTTTACTAAGGATCCAGATACAGGTCCTTAACTCCTTCAACTAGACACGGTTCATGATTCCAGATGCTACCCTCTCACTCTTTATGAACAGCAACTGTGCCCCTACTTTTCTAACACCTCCCTTGCAGAAATTTGCTGATCTTCCTACTTTATGTCCTTAATTCCTTCTGCATCCTTTTTTAAATTCTTGTGTGTTATACATACACCTTCAATGATTTCTAGAGTCCTTCCTTGAGTCATAATTGAGAGCCCGCAGACTGAAGGACAGGCGAGAAGAAGCTGTGTTGAAACACCTACGTACTTCAGTGCTGCACAAGTGTAAGCAACTAGACGTCGTCACAAAGCTCTGAGAGTCCCATGATCACAGAAAGCTCTAGAATACAGCCGTCCCGCTGATCCCCCACCTACAAACATGAAGGTCCTCCCTAAATGCCAAAAATCTTTGACCACCATTTGAGTATAGAAGTTGAATTCGCTGATACTTTTTACAGAATATTAATGTGCAGCTGCTAAGTATTTCTACTGGGGATGAGAAGGGGGGAGATAAAGAAAAGACCCAGAGTGGTAATTAATTTTCATCTGGCCACAGTGTTTAAAGTCTCACGTATGAGAAGCACGCCTGCAGCTTCTCTTCTTTGATAAGCTGTTATATAAGCTGGAGTGTGTGTGAAAGGCATTTTAGGGCTGGGGCAACTTTACAAAGCACATTGGAAATAAGAAAAGTGTCAGTCCTGACAGCGCATTGTCATGAAGGTGACAGCTCTAAAGTGTACAACTTTGAAGGTCAAAGTAGCATGAATAATGTTTAAAGAGTTGGGACAATGATTATGGATGTAGCACCAAATACAGCCGCTTCTATGTGTCACCTCCAGTACCTTACTTATGCAACTCGTCGTTTTCTCAAAAAAAAAAAAAAAGGTACAAACTAACCACCAGTCTTTAACCACCTCAAAAAGGTCCTTGGCTGCTCTGCCTAAGAGTCACACACATGGAAGACAACTTTGGCAACCACGAGAATACTTAGCATCAAGTACGCTGAATTTACTTGAAAAAAAAAAGTTCCGAAAACAATCAAGCTAATGGTTTGCTTGAAAGGGATACAAACACTCTAAAGAACATCCACAACAAAACAAAAATCCAACTTCCTGTTCTGAAGCTAGCGATGGTGAAAACTCTTCACACCCACTGCACCCAGTCCATCAACAAGAGCGTCAGAACCGGCATGCAAAGGGTGAGTTTTATTTCCATAGATTTTTTAAAACTGCTGTTCAGAAGTTGTCTAGCAAGACGGCATATTTCTACCAGAATTCCTCAGGGGCGCTGATCCTCACTAGAACGCCGAGGACAATCAGTCTCAAATTGCAGGTAAGTGTGAAAAAGCTCACGTTCTGGTCAGCGCACAAGAACCCGGCGCTCAAAGTACGGTTAAAAGTTGTTTCAACGGGCGTGGAACAGTTATTACAGCTGTTTACAGCTCCAACTCCAAAGAGGAGCCTGCTAGGGCTGGCATCAGCTCGGGACACGAAGAAACAAGCACCGCGGGCAGGGAACCTCACCAGGGGCACCAGGGGCCAAGCTGCTCGCCGTTAGCCGGCCACGGGGGCGGCGCAGGCACCTCTCCGCCGGCCCGGGTGCGAGGCCAGCCAACTTTTCCCCGAAGCAGCCCACACCCCCCCGGGGGGCGGCGCATGCAGCCCGGCCTATCCAAGTCCATGGGACCCGAGAGGGTCTGAATGAGCCAAGCCAGGAACTGAGGACAACCTGCCCGGGACAACCTCTCCCAAACTCTCCGGCCCACTCCCAGGTCCTGCCCTGTAACTTGGCTCCAGGTGGCAGAGTCCCCCGAGCCCTGCGGCGCAGGCCCCCGCCCAACCTAGCAGGGGAGGGGGCCTCCGAGGCCACCGCCCCTCCTAGGTGACTCACCTGGTGCCGGTCCTGGGAGTCAGGGGGGAGTGGATCTTCTCCCGCTTCCAAAGGCTGCTGCGGAAAGGAAGGCTGCCCGAGGTGGCCGGTGATGGGACCCACGGGGTCGAGGCTCCCAGGGCTGCTTAGGGTGCCAGAGGTGCCAGGAGCACCCGGGCCGCCGAGGCGGGACTCGGTTCCCCGTTCCCGCCGCAATTCGGACCGCAACTCTAGGTAGCAACAGAGCGTCAGCAGGTGGAGGGCCAGCGAAAGGCCAAAGAAACCCAGGAAGAGCCTGCAGCTGTTCCCTTCGCCCACCCGAGCAGGGGCCCCGCGACAGCCGCAGCCCTGGCTGCCCCGCTCCCTTGGCGCTGCTGCAGGCAGGGGTTCCCTGCGCTCTACCTCAGGGTAGCCCATGGCCTCCAGAGACGGCCACTATCTGAGGCCCGGGAGCCTCTGCCTCTGCCTCAGCCCTTCGCGACCCCTGACAGGCGGTTACTGTCCTGCCATCGGCTGGGGGCTTCAGGGACCGTTCCTGAGCGACGGTGGCTGGGCGGGACAGAACAGGGAGCAGCCGCACGTGCAGCTCCACTCCGAGGGGTGGGAAAGGGAGGAGGAGGGGCGGGAGAGAGGGGAAGCGCGGCCCGAGAGGGAATGAGGGAGGAGGTCCTCACCTACCCCGCCCCATGCCTCAAGGGGCGGCCGGGACGCCCAACCATGGGCCCGCCAAGCCCGGGCGCCCCGCCCCCTGCCGTTCCACTCGGGCCTCCAGCCGTGGGGCGGGGCCTGGGGGCGTGGGGGTTCACCTCTGCCTAGCAGCCCCACCCAGCTCTTCCCGCTTGCCCCATTGCAGTTGGTGACTGCCTCTGTCGTTCATCTCTGGACTCCACCCCGCTTTAACCCTTCAGCGCTGCTATGGGGAGAGGGCGGGGGGGGGGGGGGGGGGGAGGCTGAGAAGAATTTGGGAACCTTGGAAAGGACGTGGAGCAAAGAAAAGGAGGCAGAAACTAGCATTAATAGAAATGTTTGCAATTAACTGCAGTTGTTAATAACATCATCCAGTACTTATCTGTTGCTTTCCATCTTCAAAGCGTTTAACAGACGTTAAACTAATTAAAACAGTTCAGGGTTTGGAATGAAACCATGCCTGCTGTGTTTGCAATTCAATGGCTCGCCAGAAGAAAAGGAGACCTAGGAGCCTGGGAGCCAAGCAGACTGGGAATCAGGTGGTCTCACTCCCAGAGTGAGTCTGGGGGCACAGTCAAGGCCTACTGCCAAGTGACTAGTGCCAAGTGGAGCTGAAGTGATGCTGTCCATCGAAGAGTGTAAACCGTTTCCTAGGATTTCTTGACAGAGTAATCCGTTCAACAGATATGCATTGATCCCTCTCACAATGCGGAAAGTGCTGTGTGAGAAAACCCACAGCCAATAGTTTATCTTCCTTTAGGGCTGTGGAAGTTTTGAACGAGCATGAGCCTTCAAGAAGCAGGTGGGGAAACTGAGGGTCACGGCGAGGTGAATTTTTACAAGGGTGGTCCACAGAATGGCCAGACACTATTGGCATCTCTACTTGCAGGCAACTGTTCTGGCCTCTCCACCCTTCCCATGCTTCCCCTGGAGTACTCCCTGGGGGAAGTTCAACAAGTCAGCCAAATGTTCCAGATGTACATGCTGCAACTGCAGCATCTTCAACAGCTGCACCAATCAGAAACAGGGTCAGAGGAAAAAACGGCAAATGTCAGAACAATGGACCTGGAAATGAAGGATGGAAAAGATTAGTTGTCAAGAGTCACAATTGACAAGCGTTACTAGTCTCAGACTTTAGAGCGTTAAGTGGCGGTAGCAGAGCAAGCGTGCACGTTTTTTTAGCCAGTAGGCACTCTCATTTCCATGCAATTGAGAAATGAATAATTAGCAATTTTATTGACTTGAAGCAAGCATAGTAAAAGCCAGAGGCTCAACGGTGCCCCAGAGCACTTAAGACCTAGACTGATAAAGGCGAAGAAAAGCACAGAAGAATATAGAAAAGGAGACAAAAGGAAAAACAAAACCAAAAGCATATGGTGAAGAGGTCGGTGCAGAGAGCACAGAGGTCATAAGCTTTAATTATATCAGTCACAGACAAGTTTTCTTTCTTAGCCTTGTGAATGGTCGCAGTGCTTCACAGACATCTTTTTGTCCTCTTTTTAACCTTTACCCATGAAACAGAAGGTTTGCAAAAAAAAAAAAACTCATCATCACACAGATAAGGAGGAAAAGAAAGGCTTGCAACAGCAGCTCTCAAGATCTACTTGTCCAGACCAGGAATTCTAGATGCTAGGAAAACCGCCAGGCCGATTTACCTTAATTATCATAGCCAGGATTATTGGAAAGAATGCTAGACCAGAAGTCAAGAGGCCTCACTCTACCACTAGTTTGTTGGGTCACTCTGAGCAAAGCAACGTACTTTTTTGAGGGAATGGAGAAACACCGGCTAGGTTTCTCCAACTGTAAAACCAAGAGGTTAAACTGTAACAGCTATTACATTGTGCTTTATCTGTCTCATCACTGGCTATGTTGACTTTATTGCACGCCCAGTTTTAAAAGGCTACTTTATAATCATCTCAAATAAAAGGTAAATAAATGAATAAATGGCAGCACATCTCCTGACATGGTGGCGGTGGCAGTAGTGGTGATTCTCAAGGGTCTTTCTAGTTTCTGCGTCCATGTTCTACCAGCTTTTAAATGTTTTAAATCTATCACAATTAGAGAAAGAGAGAGGGAGGGAGGGAGGGAGGGAGGGAGGGAGAAAGGGAGGGAAGGAGAGAGAGAGGGAGGGAGGGAGGGAAAAAGAGAGAGAGGGAGGGAGGGAGGGAGAAAGGGAGGGAAGGAGAGAGAGAGGGAGGGAGGGAGGGAGAAAGGGAGGGAAGGAGAGAGAGAGGGAGGGAGGGAGGGAAAAAGAGAGAGAGGGAGGGAGGGAGGGAGAAAGGGAGGGAAGGAGAGAGAGAGGGAGGGAGGGAGGGAGAAAGGGAGGGAAGGAGAGAGAGAGGGAGGGAGGGAGGGAGAGAGAGAAAAAGAGAGAGAGAGAGAGAGAGAGAGAGAAAGAGAGAGAGAGAGAGAGGGAGGGAGGGAGGGAAGGAGGGAAGGAGAGAGAGAGAGAGGTATTTGGGGGACTCACATGCCACTGAACCCATGAGGAGGTCAAAGGATAACTTTATGGAATCTGCTTCACTCTCCACCTTTACATAAGTTCCCAGGATCAAGGTGAGGTCTTCAGACTTGTACTTAGAGCAGCAAACAACTTTATCAGCTGAACCATCTCACTGTGACCCTTATTTTAATGACGGGTCCTAGAAAGACCCTGTTTGCACCATTACTCTCAGAAGTCTTAAAAATGCATTTAACCTAGGACCTCCTTTTGATTCCCAAGAAGCAGAAAATATGGCTTCATATGCTTTAGAAATATCACAGTGAGCCAGGGCAGTGAGAAATAGATGTGGTTATAATAATATTTATCATTATGTTGATGAAGTACTGTGGATGGAACTTAGAAGTCTCATATACACTAGGCAGGCATTCTACCTCCTAGCTACACCCCCAGCCCACAATTTCCCTTTTATTAATATGTTGTGTGTGTTTTGATGCACTGCTTCAGTTTGCTTCTGTTACCATAGTGCCTTGTCCCCTATAGCATAGGACTAAAAATGATAAACCTGTAGGCCACATTCAGCAAATAAATGTGCTGTGATTGGTATAATATTAGCTAAAACTAATAAAATGAATGAAAAGGAAAATTCAATTCTAGCATTTGGAAATCTGGAGGTTTCGCTTTCCTGGTTTTCTAAATTAAAAAAAAAATCACAAGACCTGTTAACAATGGATCCACATTTCCATATGGCTACACCCAGCTAAAACTGCCCCTTTGAGATAAACAGGAATAATCAAGTTCTACATAACCCTTCCTAGCCCTTGACTCAGGTCTGTCCTTGTCAGTCATTTATCTTACTTGTGTGATGCCAAGGTATGGGCTCCTTGGCTGGCATATAATCTGTCATTTCAAGATTATTATTTGCTACCCTTTAAAGAAATCATGCTACCACATTGCTAAATTCACTATTCCTTCTCAGACCACTTCACATTAGCCCAAGTGAACATTTTTCACTAACAGTATCCCCCACCTCCAAAACCTTCAAGAATCAGTGTGCATGTTCTCTTTAGTATGGTCTAACAACTTACTCCAGCTTTTTTTTGTGCTATCATTGAACATACACACGTTAATGATATCAAGTATCATGGCATATTTTGAGTGACTGTCTCATATGGTTTTCTCACCGCTAAACTGAGCTTCTTGATGATAAGAATCATGCTTTCTCAATTTTTCTGTTCCAAAACCCTAGCATAGTACCAACCATACAGTTGACACCGAAATTGTTTGGTAACTGAATAGGGAATGAAGTCCTCTACAATGAACTAGACTACCTAGAATTCCAAAGAAGGGAACTTGTTCATGGGATGTCTGTGAATACTATTTAAGAAGCATCTTTTGGGTCTTGAACTGCATAACATATATGGAAAGATACAAAGAATGTAAAGCCACATGATAGAGCTAGGGATGTAGCTCGATAATAGAGCACATGCAAATCATGCTCAAGAACTTGGATTCCATCCTCAGCACCAGCAACACTAGGAACTGAGCGCAGGGCCTTGTACATGCTAGGTAAGCACTATACCAGTGAACAGCACCCCCCCACCCCAGTTAACTCATAGGCCTTTCTTACCCACTGAATTTCATTTACTGTGTTTGTTTGCCTGGGCCGAATATTAAAAGAAACAGGAATTGAAAACCCCTGAGCAATAAGATTATAAATTCGTTGACAACCCAGGTGTAGTGGTGTATGTTTGTAGTCCCAGCTACTCGGAAGGCTGAAGTGAAAGAGTCACTTGAGCCCAGATATTAAGGACAACCCGGAGAACACAGTCAGATTCACATCTCAAAAAAACAAAGGCAAAAATTGTTGACAATCCCTGACAAACCAACTGAGTGGAATGTACTAAGGAATTTGGCAGAGACTGATATTAAATACTTGGTACTATGGTTAATCCACAGAATAAATAACTGGCATAGAGATCAGCAGGGTAGCTATGGTGCACTTAGTGATTGGAGGTAGTTGAGGGGAATATGGGTTTTTGGAGATATTTCCTCATTTGAATCTTAGATTATTTACTTTTCAGCTATGTGATTTAATACAAGTGGTTTTCGCTTGTCTTAGACCACCTCAGTTTTCTCATGTGGAAAAGTAGAGATGACAGTATATACTTTTAGAATAGATACTTTGTAAGATGGCTGTGCTTAAATGGGATGCATTTAAAGGGGAAGAGTTCTGCTGTAGTCTCTTAGGGCTCTCAGTAATTGAGCCTATTAAATAAACTGACAGCAGGCAGATTAATGGGAGAAAATGAATACAAAATGTGTGATGTACAAAAAGGCATCAACATGAAAGAAAAAATGAATGTCAAATATGCAGTGAAA